ATGTAGAAGACAATGCTGTAAATCCAGATTACACCGGCCCAGCCCCAACCAATTCCTTGGATTTTCAATTTGCATAGACTGCTATTAATGTTGCAATCTTGAGCATGCACACAATCATAGTGATCAGAAATATCAAATCATAAGAAACTGTTAATTAATGGAAATGAGAGGAAGAAACTTACCAGTTGTGCTATAAAAAAAGCAGCGACAAGTAGTAGACCTGGGCGTTCCATGAAAGACCAACTCCTCGACCGAGTGACAAAGATGAGTGCCTGACTAACTATACTAACTTGAAGATAGAGAGCTGAATTGAGCTCGTGATAGTTAAGCCTGATTGATCTTACGCCAAATTTGTCCTGCAAAGGTGATTGTACATTAAGAATTTCAGCAATCTGACAAATGATTTTTGATACTATTTTATCTAGTCCAATTCCTTACCGAGAAGAAATCTGATTCTTGTGCAGCCCAAAAGAAAACAACGGTCATCACTGCAAGGTAAGTTCCAAGGACAATTCCAGTGGCGAAAATCTCTTTCAGTTTCCATGAATCAGGCAATGGTGATGGCTTCACCTTGTCTTTAGAAATGGTCATGATGGTTCCATCATTAAGTATTGCAATGATCAGAACCATGAATGGTGAGAAGTCGAACTTCCAGATGAGTGCAATGAGCATGAAACCGAGCACCATACGAATAGTTATGGAAACTGCATAAATTGTGTAGTTCTTCATCCTCTGAAATATGGCTCGGCTTGTCAAAACAGCACTCACTATCACACTTAATCCTGGCTCGGTTAGGACAATGTCTGATGCACCACGGGCAGCATCAGTAGCATCAGCCACTGCAATGCCAATGTCCGCTCTCTTCAAAGCTGGTGCGTCGTTCACTCCATCTCCTGTCATTCCACAGATGTGTTTTCTTTCTTGCAGCTTCTTCACTATCTCATATTTGTGCTCTGCAGTCCCAAAAACGTAGTCAATAAATCATTTTCACATGGATTAGACTAGTGAACACATCAGTTGAACAAACGCTTTAGGCTTCTCACCAGGAAAGACGCCAGCAAAGCCATCAGCTTTTTCAATGAGTTCCTCAACCGGGAGATGAGCAATGCTCTCCTCCTTGTTTTGTCCAAGTAGGGAGGAAGAAGGATACATATTTGTTCCCATGCCAAGCCTTCGACCAGTTTCCTTTGCAATAGCCAGCTGATCACCTGTAATCATCTTCACATTGACACCAAGGTTAAGGGCGCGCTTAATGGTCTCTCCACTGTCATGCCTTGGAGGGTCGAAAAGTGGCAGGAGACCAACAAATATCCAGGGCGATCCTGCACTCTCCTTAGACTTCTCTGGTACGGTCTGAAAAAAGGAAAAATATCACCAGGTGAATCGAGTTCTATAAAGCAGAATTTATTCATCAAATGAATACGATAAGAAATTTATGAAATCACCTGTTTAGCGACAGCAAGAGAGCGAAGACCACGGTCAGCAAATTTATCAATGATGGACTGAACTTTTTTCTTCACGTCTTCCTTTAGGCCACAGAGCTCAACAATCTGCAACAAGATATATTAGTAACCACACAAAGTT